TACATGTAAAAGAATGAAATTAGAACACTTCCTAACACTGTATGGTGTTTATGCAATGATAAACTCAAAATGGATTAAAGACCTAATGTAAGACCATAAACTATAAAACTCTTAGAGGAAAACATAGGCAGAACACTTGATGACATAAATCAAAGCAAGATCATCTATGACCCACTTCCTAGAGTAACAGAAATAAAACAAAAGTATACAAGTGGGACCTGATTAAACTTAAAAGCTTTTCAACAGCAAAGGAAACTATAAGCAAGGTGAAAAGACAACCCTCTGAATGGGAGAAAATAATAGCAAGTAAAACAACTGACAAAGGATTAATTTCTAAAATATACAAGCAGCTCATACAACTCAATGCCAGAAGAACAACCAACACAATCAAAAAGTGGGAGAAAGACGTAAATTGACATTTCTCCAAAGAAGACATACAGATGGCTAGCAAACACATGAAAAGAGGCTCAGCATTGCTCACTATTAGAGAAATGCAAATCAAAACTACAATGAGGTATCACCTCACACTGGTCAGAATGGCCATCATCAAAAAGTCTACAAACAATAAATGCTGGAGAGTGTGTGAAGAAAAGGGAACACTCTTGCACTGTTAGTGGGGATGTAAACTGATACAGCCACTATGGAAGACAGTATGGAGATTCCTTAAAAATCTGGGAATAAAACCATCATATGACCCAGCAATCCTACTCCTAGGTATATATCCTGAGGAAACCAAAACTGAAAAAGAAACATGTGCCCCATTGTTCATTGTAGCACTACTTACAATAGCTAGAACATGGAAGGAACCTAGATGTCCATTGATAGATGAATGGATAAAGAAGCTGTGGTATATATACACAACAGAATATTACTAAGCCATAAAAAGAAATGCATTTGAGTCAGTTCTGATGAGGTGGATGAACCTAGAACCTATTATACAGAGTGAAGTAAGTCAGATAGAGAAAGATAAATATCATATTCTAATGTATATATATGGAATCTAGAAAAATGGTACTGAAGAATTTACTTACAGGGCAGCAATGGAGAAACAGACAGAGAAAATAGACCTATGGACATGAGGAGAGGGGAGGAGAGATTGATATGTATGGAAAGAGTAACATGGAAACTTACATTGCTATATGTAAAATAGATAGCCAACGGGAATTTGCTGTATGGCTCAGGAAACTCAAACGGGCTCTGTATCAATCTAGAGGGGTGGGAATGGGCAGGAGATGGGAGGGAGGTTCAGAAGGAAGGGGATATATGTATACCTATGCCTGATTCATGTTGAGGTTCAACAGAAAACAACAAAATTCTGTAAAGCAATTATCCTTCAATAAAACAATAAATTAAAAAGAAAAAAAGAGATGTGTTTAAGCCTAGTTATGGTGATTTAAAATTCACAGTCCTAAACCACAATTACGTTTGTATCAACCTAAACTTTATAATGTTTAAGGCAAATGGTCAGGCATTTGAGAGAAGGAGAGGGAGGGAAACAGGAAGACAGTGGGACCCAACAGCCAACTCTTGTAGGCACTGGGTGTAATAAGGTGATGTTCATGAAGAATTCATATCCCTTTTCTTACGTACAAGCCTCAGGGAGAAGCAGCCAGTGAGGCACTCTATAACATATCAGAGCACAAAGAATGTCTTGCACTAAAGTCCCACCAACTGACCTCCACTTGGACCCCATCTAAGCTGGGGTTGTGACTTCTTCATGCCTTTTTCTAGAGCCAAGGACTTAAGCCTAAATATTTCATGAGCAAAGCTAAGTGTGAACCATGTTGGTACCCCAACTCTCAAATCTCTGCCCTTGGGTGCAGGTCAGATCGCTACTGGCATGTCTGTAAGGTATAGTGCGATCCTCGAAGGCTACTTCATGTTTTCTTTGCTGGAGTGTTTGGGAGTTATCAGCAAAGGTCAGTTCCATTCAGCAGCTAACAGTGATTGAATGTCTCCTGGTTCAGCAGCTCAGTGCTGAACCTCAGGGGAGAAAATGATGAACAAAACAAGGGTTCTGACCATGAGCCCTCAGGTCTAGTCAGAGAATGAGAAGGGCCTTCCCATCTTAACTCTCTCAGCCCTGGAGTGGTCATGCACAGGCCTGGCTGAGCCTCTTCTGGGTCCTCACCTGTAACTAGGAACAGTAATGTGGCCTGGGCCATCATCTGCAGAGCAGTGTCAGAAGTGCCAGGAAAAAGAGGGTCAGTGAAAACACCTCTGTTACCTCTGGATGCCTCTTTCCCCACAGATGATCCTCAGGAACACTCCCTTTTCTGGGAAGGTTTTTTCTGTCCCATTGAGGGGCTATGGCAAGTTGGGACAAATCATAAACATTTAGGGTCAGTTAAAAAAAAATTAAAAGGGTGGGAAGAAGGAAAAATGCATGAGTAGCTACTTCTCCCAGAGCACTCATTCAGAGAGTACCCAAGTGTGTAGAGTTTCAATCTGGGATGATGAAAAAGTTTTAGAAATGGGTATGGTGATGGTTGTAGAGCACAATGAATGCAATTAATGCCACTTACTGTACACCTCAAATGGTTAAAAGGATGACGTTTATATTATACATATTTTATGACAAGAACAAATTTTTAAATAAGATCTACCATGTTATACACTTAGCACAATATTTTAAAATATTTAATGAAAACCTAATAAATGTTAGCTCTTTAAAAAAAAGAACCACCACCACCAACAAAAAAAAACACCTCCCCTAGGAATCAATGTTGGTACAGGTCTGCCCAGAGCTTTCCTTTCTCGCCTCCTCCATCAGTCATCCTCCGTGGTTACAACTGTTTGAAGTTTCAAGGTCAAAAGAGTGTTAATGAAATATCTCCTTCCGAAGGTGTTCTGAAAAAAAAACCTTAAAAAAAAAAGTCCCACCCCACAGAGCTCACGCCCATTGTCTCTCTCTTCCTTCTTCTCCAGACCTAAACCTGACCTTGCCCTAATAACACAGGAACTATTTCCTAAAGTCTTCATTAAGTTTCCCTTGCGGGCACTCGATGGAGGTGGTGAGCACGGGTTCTCTAAGGCCCCTTTAGCTTTCTCCAGAACCCAAGTCCGCTGGCCGCCCTTGGTCCCTGTGCAGGTGAGACTGCTGGAAGCCAAGCCTCCACCCCTACGGGTGGCGGGGCCCACTCCGTGGCAGGCGTGGTTCCGACACTGGGAGCTGGGGTGGGTTTGGCTCCTCCGCGGAGGGGGCCTCTCCTACAGGAAGGATGTGCGGCCACCAGGTGGCAGTGATACCATCCACGGGGTAAAACACAGGCCACGTCTGAAGGTTTGTGAGTATACTCTCTGGCCCCTGGGCCTCCCTGGTGGCCAAGAAGGTAAAGAATCTGCCTGCAAGACAAGAGACCCAGGTTTAATCCCCGTGTTGGGAAGACCCCTGGAGAAGGAAATGGCCACCCACTCCAGTATTCGTGCCTGGAGTATTCCACAGACAGAGGAATCTGCAGGGCTACAGTCCACGGGATTGCAAAGAGCTGGACATGACTGAGCGATTAGCTCAATACCTGAGAAGAGGGCTGAGGTTCAGACATCCAGAGAACATTCCACTGACCTCTGAGGCCTGTGGTCAACACTGTCACAAACCGAGGACTTCACAAGTGCTCATAAGGATACTGTCTCCCACTAGTGCCAACAGCAGCAGTGGTGTGATGAGAGTAGTAGTATCACTGAACACTGGGTTGTAGGCTTGACATGATTTATCTCATTTGATCCTCAAATGATCCTATAAGGGCAGGGGCTCTTTTCGCCAGGTGAGAAGGCAGAGGCTTAGAAAGGTTGAGGATTGACCCAGTGTATTATGGTCAAGAAGTGACAGAGCTCTGCTGCTAGATACTGAACCTCCTCTTATCCTTGCTTCATACCTGCCATTCCTCCAGAGACCTCCTGAGAACGGCTGTGCTGACCTTCTGCCTTGGAACTTGGTGCTTATCTATTAAGTTTTATCTTCTGCCTGCTTGGAAAACATCTAATGCCGTTTATGCTACAAAGTCAGTTGTGTAATGCACAAACAGAACAGAGAGTATTAAAGGTGGCGCCTGCTTAGGGAAGGTGGGGTGCTCTGGAGCCAGACAGACATGGATTTGAATCCTGACCCTGCCACCTACCTATTAGCTGGGGACTCTGCATAAATCCCAACCTCTATAAGCCTCAAAGCCCACATTTGTAAAAAGAGGGTTATAACCTCTGCTCACAGGGTTATTGTAGGATTAAATGAAAAAACATGTGGCGCCATGTTTTAGAGGAAGCAGTGTGTGCTCATTCAGTCATGTCCGACTCTTTGTGACCCCACGGAATGGGCCCACCAGGCTCCTCTGTTCATGGGGATTCTCCAGGCAAGAACACTGGAGTGGGTAGCCATGCCCTCCTCCAAGGGGTCTACCTGACTCAGGGATCGAACCCACATCTCCTGTGTCTCCTACATTGGCAGGCGGATTCTTTACCACTGAGCCACCTGGGAAGCCCATATATGCAGTATGTATTCCAGGCAGCTGTGAAGAGCTGGTTTTTATGTCCTGAATTAGGCTCCAAGTTGCCTAATATGAAGCAAAAAGAGAACATAGAAACATGAACATAGAAACGACCCTCCTAGCTGAAGTCCTGTACAACAAAAGCAGCTAACTTCTGCTGAACATGTGTTATCCCTGGGCTCCATGCTAAACACCTGAATTACATACTTAAAATTCCTTTGGTCCTCATAACAACCCTACCGGGCTGTAGTACAATTTCCCTTCTAGAGAAAAAGAAACTGAGACTCAAAGCTAAGAAGTGGGAGAGGAGGAGCTAAACCTAAGTGTCTCATTCTCAAACCTGTGCTCTTAAACCTTACACTACCACATCCTCACACTGAGGGTCAGTGGGTAAGTGCCCTCACTCCACACCAAAGACCCATGAAACTCCTCACCATTCCATACAACCAGGGCTGCCCACTGCTACTCCTAGAGGCCTGGGTGACCAGGGAAGCGCTTGATTCTACACACAGCACTCACCTGAACGAGGTAATCCCTTGGCAAGAGAGGGAGACGGACATGTTCCATCAGTTTTGCCATGTGCTCTAAACGGGTCTCTTTCTCATAATTGATCCATGAAATCACAGCTTCAAATACCTGTACGGAAAACCGAAATAGGGAACTTTAGCCAAGAGATAATAACTTTAAAATAGCTTCCAAACAATTTCTTCAACCTTAAAAAAGAAAGAAAAGTTACAAGTCATTCACAAAGGCATTTAATCTAAGGTCTAATATTGAAAATATTAATAAAAACAGAATATATTTACTACCTGATGTCATGTCAGAGAGTGTTCTCTCTGCCTCCCTCATACACACACACACACACACACACACACACACACACACAAATGTACACTAAGAAAAACCTGGTGCCCCAAACATAGAATCATCCAGGTTCATTGCAAAATAAAAATCAATTCCAACAGTTACCCCAGGGTAGAAATGCAGAGCAATAACTCTGAATCAAATTTTACAAAGAATTCCCAAGAGGACCAGAAGCCCTGGGGTCAATGTCTTCATCACACAAACACCTCTCTTCATCTATTTCCCATGTTCGTTTAATGCAGAACAAAAACTATAAAGATGTCCCCCACAAAAGTTGGTAATAATGGTGAACTTGAAACTGAATGATAGAGAATGGCAAAAATTTCTCCTTGGGTTGAACCTTTTCTTTGAGGAGAGATTTCATTTCTATACAAATCAAAACAGGTCTTAGAACCAAAAAGGGGAATCTATGGTTTGAATGTTCACCTTACTCAAGGTTAAGTTCAGATTCAAACCCTGCATCACCATATACATAGACATGCATAAACGTCAGCATTGGTAAGACAGCGGGGAAACCACCACTGTTTATGGAAGCTTAATTAGCATGGCTTTTTAAGAGGGGAAGGAAGAATTTGGCAATAGCAATCAAAAATTCAAATGTGCATATCTTTGACTTAGAAATATAACTTCTAGAGCTCTAGTCAACAAAAATATTTACACAAGTGGTACAAGAATATGCGTTCCAAGATATTTGCTGCAGGATTTTTGTAAGAGGATAAAGAAACTTTCTGAAGTCCACTAGTGGAGAAATTATTAAACTAGTTTTGACACGGGATATTTTCAGCTGTTAATTTCATTGCTGCAATCACCATCTGCAGTGATTTTGAAGCCCAGAAAAATCAAGTCAGCCACTGTTTCCACTGTTTCCCCATCTAGTTGCCATGAAGAGATGGGACCGGATGCCATGATCTTAGTTTTCTGAATGTTGAGCTTTAAGCAAAGACTCCTGAGAGTCCCTTGGACTGCAAGGAGATCCAACCAGTCCATCCTAAAGGAGATCAGTCCTGGGTGTTCATTGGAGGGACTGATGTTGAAGCTGAAACTCCAATACTTTGGTCACCTGATGCGACTATGGACTCATTGGAAAAGACCCTGATGCTGGGGAAGATTGAGGGCAGGAGGAGAAGGGGATGACAGAGGATGAGATGGTTGGATGGCATCATCGACTCGATGGACATGGGTTTGGGTGGACTCTGGTAATTGGTGATGGACAGGGAGGCCTGCTGTGCTGCGGTTCATGGGGTCGCAGAGTCGGACCCAACTGAGTAACTGAACTGAACTGAACTGAACTGAAAAACAATAATAATAACAACTAATAATAAGACAAAACACTTTCTTGTGCTAGAAAGCAATAAAGTGACCAAAGATCAAGGGGACACAACAGACATACCAGAGCGAGCTAGATAGGGCCTTTTCATGGCCAACATTTGGGACAATTTAAACATGTAACAAGATAACGAAGAAATAATTAAACCCTGACTGGGAAGGGGCCAAAGAAACCTTTTGGTGGTAATGGATAGGTCCTATATCTTGATAGAGGGAGCTATATAGGTAAATGCATTTGTCAAAACTAATCAAATCTTACACTTAATATCTATACATTTCACTGTATGTAAATCATACCTCATTTAAAATATATTTAGTTAAAAGAAAAAGATAGCAATGAATCAAAACCCAAAGAATAAAAAGAATCCATGAATCCATAAGGACTTTAAAAAGTATGGGAAGGCTGCTCTTCACAGAAAAGTGCCAGCTAATAAGGTAAAAGCACAGAATTAAAAAAATATCACTTTGCAACCACCAATATAATAACTGATTCAGCCAATGTTGACCATAGATGCTGAAACCATTAGGTGAAAAGTTGTTGGGAACAAGATATTCACAGTTCTCCAAGTGTCATCTGACAGAAAACTTATTAATTACATAGGGAGAGTGGGGGAGATTCAAACTGGTTGATCTGACAGATACCACCTTTAACAAGTGGTCAAAGTTAACACCACTAATAAACAGGCCAAATTTATATTACACTCCTGAATGTGACTTAATGAGAGGGAAACAGCATTCCCTATGCAGTAGTCTTTCCAAAACGTTAAACCTGAATCTTATAGCAAAGAAACAGACAACTCCATGTGTGGGACACTCTTCAACATAAGTGTCCTGGATTCTTCAAAACTGTTAGCACTGGGGACTTCCCTGGCCATCCAGGGGACACAGGTTCAATCCCTCATGCGGGAAGTCTTCACATGCTGAGGGGCAACTAAGCCTGTGCTCTGTAGCACAGCTACAGAGCACACGTGCCCAGAACCTGTGGACCACAAGAGAAGCCACCACAATGAGGAGCCCATGAACCACAACTAGGAAGCAGCCCCCACTTGCCACATCTAGAGAAAGCCCAAGTGCAGCAAGAAAGACCTAGCATAGTCAAAAACAAATAAACAAAAAAAATTTTTAATTGCCATTTTAAAAAGTTGTTAGCATTATGAAAGACACTAAAAAAGGCAGGGAAACAGAAGATCCCCTGGAGAAGGAAATGGCAACCCACTCCAGTGTTCTTGCCGGGGAAATCCCTTGGACAGAGGAGCCTGACAGACTACAGTCCACAGGGTCTCAAAGAGTCAGTCACGACATCATGCATACTTAATCTTCTTCAGAGACGTAGAACTAAATGCAAGGCATGATCCTTATTTGGTCATGGATTAAAAAGAAACAATCATGAAAGACTTTTTTTGAGACTGTTGGGAAGTTTGAGTGCTGACTGTATACCAGAAAATATTATTGTGTCAGTGTTCCATTTGTTTGGTATGATAGTGGTTTTATGGCTCAGAAAGAGAATTTCCTTGTTCTTAGGAAGGGCAAGCTAAAATACTTAAGGGTAAAGTGTCTTGATGTCTACAATTTACTGTCAAAAATAAAAATTAAATATTCAGTAAAATAAAAGATTATGGAGAGAAATAGAAAAAGCAAATGAAGCACAATGTTAACAAATGGTGAATCTAGGTAAAGAGTATATGAATGTTCATTCTTTTCCAACTTTACCATAGGTTTGAAATTTTTCAAAATAAAAAGTGGAAGGGAGAAGAAAAGAAATCCTAAGGGAAAAGGTAAATACTACAGAAAAATTTACAATTTCAAAATTCACAAGTTGAAATGAAAGCTATATCTCCCAGTATGGGTAAAAAATCTCCAATTTTTCTTATTCTAACTGTGTATTTGTGTGTATTGACATGTTACTAATGTTTTGGCCCTATTTCCTAAACATGTACTTAAATCAGGCTGAGCATACTCGGATTGGATGAGATATCAGAAAGGAATCCATCAGAAAGAGAAGAGAAGGGAAAGAGATGAGTGGAATGGAACAGAAGTTTGCTCCCATTTCTATATAAAATAACCTACATGTGTACAAACATAGACACACATGTCATGGAAATCCTTGTCTAGTTCATTTCTAAAAATCATTAACTCTCACGGAGCTATGTGTCTCAATCTTATTGCATTATTTTGTAAATAATTGTGCGTTTCTTCAATTAGCCCTTAAGATTCATGAGAACAGGGACCTTGTCTCACTTGCTGGCACATAATACACATTCAAATGTATTTAAAGAATGAATGGACAAGAGTTCAGAATGAGCTTGTAAGCAGACTGGAGCAGGCAGCCGGATTAGGGAAGCAGAGCCAGGCCCCAGAACCAAAGGATAAAGGATGCTGGAGACGCCTGGCTTTGCTGGGTTAGGTGATGGACCGCCACAGTTCTGTTCTGTTCTGCACCTTGGTTGCCAACACTGCCTTCCTCTTCCCTTTACTGGACTGTGATTCCTGCAGAGTGAGAAGGGTATCAGCTCTGTCCCTGCACTTCCCAAGCACAGTGCCAGGCACAGAGCACATGGCCGGATGAGAACGCTTTCCTAAAGAATGAACAGCAGGGCCTTGAGTAGGTGGGATTTGCCGATCACACCCTTCCCTGTCAATCAGTTTAGTCTGTTATAGAAGCTGCAACACAGGCTGAGTCTAATGAAGTCGATATTTAACCTTATCTTTATTTTTGGCTTGACTTGTCTAACTGGTTCCGCTCAGCTGCACTGTTTACCTACTCAGCTGTGAAAGCCACAGCACTTGGCAGCAACGGTGACCTTCTCCACAGCTAGAGGAGGTCGCATATTTTTTTCATTTAGATGTCATGCTTGGGAAATAAGCAAATGAACTTCCAACTAGCCTATGGGCCTACAATCATTCCCAACAGCCCCTGCTGTCAAAGGAGTGGCCAAGGCAAAGAGGCAGCAAGTACAAGCAGCAGCAGCTCGTGCCCTGCGCCACACTCTCCAGAGATACCACAACCACGGGCTCTCCCGACGGCCAGGGAGGAGACACTCCGGCCCCGTGCTGAGTGACTCACCCAAGTCCAGAGCCAGAAAGCAGCAGAGCTGGGTCCACATACTCCCATCTCTAATGCTCAGACTCTTTCCCGTTATTCTCAGTAGCTACCCAGTTGGCAAACCTCAGCCCACAGGCCACATGCACCTGTTTTTGTAAATAAAATTTTCTTGGAACACAGCCACACTCACTCATTACAAGTCATCTACGGCTGCTTTCACACTTTAATAGCAGAGCTGAATTGAGACGCTGTGGCCCACAAAGCCTAAAATATTTACTCTCTGGCCCTTTAAAGGAAAACTGCATAAATGCCTGGTCTGTTGGCTCTAAGCAGCAACCCTGTGGCTTCAATCATGGGACAGGGTAATGTCTACTCAGATGAAAATATTTTTTTTTTCGTGGAC